ATTGCACGTTATACCAGACTCATTTTATCTCTAGTATCTTCTATCTGATAGAATTGACACACTTTTTCTGAGGGTTCCTAAATACTGTTATATCGCCTGCAGATATCAAAAGAGGTTTGTTGCATAATGATTTCTCAGAATACAGTACCCTAGCACTCTATTTTCTAAACCATGTAATGAATTATAATATCAAAATATCAACATTACAGATGTTTGTAAGGTAACTATTTTGGAATTTTAGTTGATTAGGTGGTTACTGACCAAAAAAAAAGGTAAATATTTTATATTGCTAGTATTTTTATTGTACCTTTTATATAAATGTCACTAATAACATACTAGGAAAATAGACTTCTTTAAATTTAGTTATCCAGAATAGTTACTAATTTATAGATTTCTTGTTCATATTTTTATGTTATAGATTATTTACTGTATTCATGGCTGAAAGAATGCTGAACAGTATTTTACTATTTTGTTTTGGTGTATACTACTATCTTTTATTATTCAGTGCAAGAAGTAAATTAAAACTATAAAGACATAAATCAAATAGAATAAATTCAATTTTTGTGCTGGATTTCCCTAGTTTTTCCACTTTTAAAGTCAATGTCTGTTTTGAAAGGGAGGATTATTTAAATTCAATGTTTTTATAATTACATCTAGACCCAAAATGTTCTACTCTGATTTAGTGAAAATAGATAGAATGTCTGAGTTTACACAGCTTACTTAACTAGGTTTCTAACTTTACTCACTTCCTGGGATTATATAATATACTGAATCATAAATGAGTAAAAATAAACAGATATTGTACTGTATGCCTGTATGTACTGTACCAACAGTACATACAGTTGGTACTGTATGTACTGTATATATATTGTTGATATATATAAACAACTATATACAACATATACATATACAAACAGAGGTGCTGATTTTTTAACCAATAAAATATACATCTTGAATACATCTCAGCCAGATGATAGGATTCTAGAGTAAAATAAATCTCAACCATGTTGATGATTGGTGATAGTTACATTGGAACATATTCTGTTACCATGATAAATCTCTTTGTAGGAGTACCAACTGCATTCACAGGCTTTCTCAATGCAACTGTAGCCAAATACACAGCTGGTAAATAAAACAAGTTTTTTTTTTAAAAAAAATGCAAATACAAATAGCCTATAAAGTCACAAAAACTAGTTTCTTTGGTTCTAATATTCTGCTCATCTCTAAGATTAAACCCTGAGTTTTTCCCCTCCCATTCCTTTGTGGTAATGGGATGCATACCAACCTTGCCTGGTCCATTATTTTCTGCCTTGAAAGACCTAACCATCTCATTTTCAGTCTATTAATATACCTACAGGTAAATTGTCCACAGAAAACACCCTCAGCTGAGTGAACATGATGAATGTGAGCTATCCACAGAGAATGCTGTGCAGCAATGCTCTCTTTTCTACTTCAAACTCACTAATGGTTGAGTTTCCAACACTCTTTTTTTTCAGATTCCAAAAAGGGAAGTAAATAATACCCCCTTCTGGAAGATGTGGCATATATTATACTATTCTAAACCAGTAATGTAAATTATACCCACAGAAGTGCATATTGTTTCAGTTCCAGTTTACTTTTTTATTGATTAGTCCTTGGGCCATATCAAAGTGCAGAGTTCCAGACACAAATTATTACTAAAATCTCATAGAAAATCTCATAGAATAAAATATGATTTAAAATGAAATTGGAATAAAATACAGTTTAAAATGAACTTGGAATTAAATACAATCATTTAATATATAGATAAATAAAATATGATAAAATTATATTTCGGTGTCACCCTTACAATCTACCTCAATCAGTCCCACATATGCCGATCTCAACTGAGCCATTTTGCTTCAGTACTGTGCTGTGTTAAATGTTATTTTCAGATTCTGGCTGCACATAGGGTAAGTTGTTTTGATATGGGGTTATTCCCAATGGGTCATTCATTTGGTATACAGACCAAACAAATGCATGTTGTTAGAAATGTGTATTTTTGTGCATTTGTTGCAAAATATTTTTTGGAAGGAGGGCAGCTGGGGAAAAAATGATTCTAAAAAGAGCTAACCTTTGCATCAAAACCCTAAAAAGCATTCCTATATTTGAGATGCCAGATCAGTCTTGCAGTGACTTGTAGTGAATATTTTCCCTGCCTTACTCCAGGAAATTCATTAAAATATTGTATGGATGTCAAACTGCAATGCTAACAAAATAGGCATGGAGTTGGCCTAGTGGAAGCATGAGCTGAAAAGCAGTTTACTGAGGCCATCTCTGGTGATAAGAGAGACTCACAGACTTAAGATCAATTCGCTGGAAATGAAGTTTTATTCATATGAATGTCAGGCCTGGAAGCCATCTTTTTCATTGGCGCTTCAGGCCTGCCACATTTACTACTGTGGGAAACTGGGAGGGGGGATTATATGGAACCAAGATGATATATAGTTCTAATAACATTCCTTTCTCAGAGAGTCTAATAACATTCCTTTCTCAGAGAGTCAAGGACATCTTGCCCTGCACCTGGACGGCTGAAACTAGGAAGCAACTCCAGTTAGGACGGTGCTTTAATTGGACCATGTGATGAACATGTGGATGTTGGGCAGGGACTTGAACTTTCCTTTGGGTGGGGAAAACCTGGAAGCTTTCAGATTTGGATTTTCCCAGATGTGCCAATATGACATCTCTAATAAAATGGAACTTTGAAGAAACTCAAGCCTCAGAATTTTCTTTCTTTGGGGATGTTACTTGGAACCCTGACAATGAAATCCATAAATGCTGCTGAATTTCTGAGGATTGTGAAGAAGAAACTTGGAACGCATTAGCACTGATTTACAGGTAGTGTCATATAATAAGCAATATTTGAGTAAAGACATTGTGTGACAGGATTCACAGATCAAAAGAGCAATCTAAACTAACAAAACACACATAGTCACTAAAAAAGAAAAGCTTAGGATAGCAGTATTCCACAGATACTGTTTGGAAAATACGTCTCTAGCTGTGAATATTACATCACAACTAAAGTAAGGTATATGGCTTACTTTCTAAAATCCTTTGCATAAGGTTATGGAAAATGCACATAAGGAACGGAAATAGTTTGAAGGAGAAGAAATTGGAAAATGGGGGGAAAAAAATCGAAAGGAGAAACCCAAAGAATAAGAAATCAGCTTATCAAACAAAGCATTTGCATTGAATTAAAGTAACTCCGTAGTTACATGAAGTATGACAAAACTCTGAGAAAGCATCAGTGTGATCAAAGGCAAAAAGGATCAAGAAAATATCAAGAAATAAATGAGACAGAGGCAGAACTGAAGAAAAACAAAAAGAAAAAAAATAAGAAATAGAAAAAGAGATGAATGTAAAACTTATTATTTCATGTATATCACTTATTTTGAAATAAAATGCAGACACATACTTACCAACCCACTAACACTTGCTTCTTTGTATGACGATTTCTATTTTATTTTAATATATCTAAACAAATTTTGTATCTTTTATTATATATAAATTTTCCTGCAGAGTATTCTATATAAAACATTTCAACACTCTGATATATCATTGCATTCAGATTTTGCTCATAAAAGCGGTCTTACATGAATTTTATTTGATTTTTCTGAAATGGTTTATATCTTTTAAAAAAGATTACTTGGAGAGAACATACTGAAAGGCAAATCTTAAGTTTAGTACACAGGTCCATCCCTATAAACTGTACATGTGCACACAAAGAAGAACGGGAAACATCAAACATATATTTAAAACTTATTTCCATTGTTCAAACTTACAGAATGTCAGCCTCCACATTATCACTCAGTCTTTCAACTTGTTTGGGCTAACCTAACTTGAGTGGATAGGGCAGAGGTCTTCAAACTTGGCAGCTTTAAGTCTTGTGGACTTCAACTCCCAGAATTCTCCAGCCAGCTATGCTGGAGAATTCTGGGAGTTGAAGTCCACAAGTCTTAAAGCTGCCATGTTTGGGAAACCTGAGATAGGGGATCCAACCTTTAGAAACCCACAGTTAGGGACAAAGACTTGATTAGAAAATTGAAAAGAAGAAGAGGATAATGACAATATTTCTACCAGCAAAACTACAAAGAAATTCCACAAAGATGTCACCAAATGCTGGACTTGACTAGAAGGAGATATCAGAATGTCCTTGTCTACTAGGTGGCTAGGTGGCTCAGCGACTAAAGACGCTGAGCTTGTCGATCAGAAAGGTCAGCAGTTTGGTGGCTCGAATCCCTAGTACGGGTCTCCTGCATGAGCAGGGGGTTGGACTAGATGACCTCCCAGGTCCCTTCTATCTCTGTTACTGTCGATGTTTTCATAATGATTGGTGTGATTGGATGAGCAATGTTGCATATACTGCATGGAAGTAAAAACTGGAGGGCTACAATCATCCCATTTGCCCACATTTCAAAGCCAATGATTGCTGTTGTAGATGTTCTTGGGATATATGACTTTCCTTTGATATAAACCAGTTAATCAAATAAGTGAGAGGCCATATTTACTAGTAGCAATTTTTTTCAGTAGAATATACATTAAGCTATTTTTTCATTTACAAAATAAATAGCTTGATGGTTAGAATAACACACATTGAAAAATTCAACACAGCTCCAATTCTTAGCCATTTGAATTTTCAGAATCCATTTGCTTGTGTTTATAAGTATATGCTGTGAAAATGTATTATTTAAAGTTGGTAGCTATGCATTGGTCACAATCAGTTTTCCGGAACTCCAAAATATCTGAAGACACCACTGTCTGAGGAAATAGTCTTGTTACTAGAAAAGTGAAATAATTTGTCTAGATAACAAATTGATAGTTGGAATCAAATCTAGGAGTTATATGTTTGAATGAAGGTTTAAGATGTATTATATAGGTTGCTCCACAAAATAAGCATCAGATTAAAGAAAATATATGGAATTTTTAACTACAATATGGTATCAATACAATACAATACATATAAAAAAAAACCTGCTACTTACCAAATTCTTTAGGAACTGCAATCGAGTAAATGCAGTTATGTCCTATGCTATAGTTTTTAGGGTAGTTTGGTGATAAAACCGTTCCTTCAGAACCTGTGGAACGTATTCCACAAGGTGCTACAAAGTAAAAAACAATTTATTTTACAATATGGTAGGAAAAAGTAAAGTTGGCAAATAAGCAAAATAAATGAACTCTACCTTTAAAAATAAATCAATGGATTAAATCACATATTTCATGTAGTTTTTCTCACTTTTGGAGTAAACAAACAAATAATCCCTTTTAAGTATTGCAATACTATTGACAGATTTGGTAACCAGAACAAGGAATGATCTTACAAGTAATCCTCAATTTATGGCTGTCGTAACATTGAATGGTTATTAAACAAATGGTTGAAAGTCAAAGGCTACTGTATTGACTTATTACTGTGGCTATATATAGCAGTATTACTCAACCATGGAAACTTTTAGGTGCATAGAAATCAACTCCCAGAATTCCTCAGCCAGTCACATTGACTGGAGAATTCTGCGAGTTGAAGTCAATGCATCTTAAAGCTGCCTTTAAGACTGCTTAACATTGCTATTCAGAATGCTCTTTTAAGAAGCCCCATCTTTCATACAAGCCTTTCATCACACAATTAGGTTCATATTACAGACCCAATATCTCTCTCAGGCAAATGTGTCCAAAAGTCCAGGAAATGCTACTGTGATTGAACAAAACAAATAGAACCACATTTTGCTAAGCAATCATCAAAAGCTGCTGCTCAAAGGATTAAGATGTCTCACAGCCTTAGGGTGACCTCTCTAAGTTATCTGTGCTGTATTTATTTTACAAAACACTTTTGTGAAAAATACATCATTGAAAGGAATAGGAGAGGAGGTAGAAGCAAAACCTGAGGTACATACATTTGTATATACATCACATGACAAGCAGTTAAAAAAAATCTCATTCTTTCAACTTGCTCTTGAGATATATATTCTGTATATAAAGTATTTTCTCCTAATGTTTAAGGCCATGTTAAAATTTTCTGTGGCTTCCTTGAATCTCATTTCACTGTTGTAATCATATTTTTGTTTCATATTGACATTTTTTAATGGTTCTTTTGGAATATGGAATTTTTTTAATAGTTTGCCATTATCTTCTTCCAAGGGATGAGAGAGAATGATGGCCCAAGGTCACTCAGCTGGCTTTCATGACTAAAGTAGAACTAGAACTCACTAGAACCTGGTGATTGGCCCAAAGTCACTAAGCAGTGACTTTTAGTCACTTTTAGGCTAAAGCAGCACTGTTACTTACAGTCTTCTGTTTGTTATCTATAACTAATACTACACTAAACTGGCTCATTTCTTGAACAGGAAAAAAAATATTTTCTATTTTTGCTGAAGTTTATTTAATCATTCAGTTAAGAATAGAAATTACAAGCACACTTATACCACATCTTCACCCTGAATAAAGCAAGATGGAACGTGAGGGGAAAAAAACCCCACAAAAAAGCCCAAACACCCCAAGTTTTATGGTATTGTATTCAGTTATTTCAAAGCAACTTAAATGGAAAGTCTTACTTCTAGTGAAGCCATAAAAATTGTAATTGGTATTTTAATTATTTAAAGATTTTGATCATAGATCCATTGTGTTGTTTATATTTTATTTTTATTTTGTTTTAATACAAAATGAATGTTAAAAGATCTTAATGAATAAGATCTATTATCTGGATTTTCTATAACAATTGAACAACTTAGAAACTTCATAAAGTTCTCTAAAACTTTACGTGTTTTCAACAATTCCTGAAAAACTCAACTTACAAGGTAACTACCTGTTCTTTTGATAACAACAAAGAGGAAAATCACGTTGCTATCACTGGAAGAAGTTTTAGCTAACAGAATGAGAGGGCAACTAGTTCATCTTTTCAAGTCCACAGCTACATGGTAATTACTCTGGACGACTGTCTGTCTGGAGCAATGGTAGGTTGCCCCCGGTTTGGACCAGTTCGCAAGAACTGGTAGTAACCGGTGGTGGGGTTCCGCCCACCACCCCGGATGTCATCATCGGCGATTTGCGCATGCACAGAAGCAAGGCGTGTGCGTGTGCAAAGCAATCGCACATGCGCCAATCCCGTTGTGAACCGGTAGTAAGGTAAGTAGAACCCACCCCTGGTCTGGAGCAATTTTTTTTTTTGGCGAGTGGGGGGGGGGTCTATGGAGACAGAGTGGAAAGGTGAAGAGGCAGGATAAAGACCAGGAAGTGGCATTACATAATCTAAGGACTACTTGAGTGCAAATGAATTCCATCCCATGAATTTGAATGAACACATATGGAGTACTTAGCAGCAGTGTTTATTTATTCAAATTTATTTGAGAATTTATTTCTATCAAATCTTATAAAGGGTATATATCCAATATATACCGTACTGCAGTTCTTTGTTGCTTAAAACTTATAGTGCTACAGCATTAGAAATCAGTGGATTTGAAATTCAGATTGTGGAACCACAAGACTAAATATTGATTTATTTTCTTCTAATATCCACTACTAAATACCTATTGAATAAAATGTTTAGAATTTAGATACATACAAGGTCATTTATATAAAGTGTAAAATGGGGAAGAGACTAAGAAAGCATTTTCATAAGCATGCATTTTTAAGTGAAGTAAATTTGATATGCAAATTATATTATATTTTTCAACACAACGTCAAAGCAGTACTTTGTGTCAAATTACATATGGAATTTGCAATAAAACTGAACAATAATAAAGCTTTAATTACATTATCTAGTGGCTCAGTCTTATGTGAAAGTATCAATTTCAAATAAAGTTGAGCACAGGAATATTTTAACATAATATTTATTTTATTTCTAACTGCAGCAGAGACGTTTAGCCAGCATAGATGATACAATATTTTATTATGACCACGAAGTACAAATTTATGCAAATTGTCACCCAGTAACATTATTCTTTAAAACATTCTGAACTAAATTGCCTTTTAGTTTTAAATATATTAAATAAACATATTTGCACATTTGCTAATTCAGTGTTCTATACTCCATTATGTTACAGGCATACAGATTATCTTTTATCCCACATGCTTTCTGTAAATCTGGGAAAAGGTGATTTTGTAGTAGTTGTTGTTCTTCTCTTGTGAGCAGAGGAGTGAACTAAAGAGATATTTTACTCTACACCAGGGCTCTCCAAAATTGGCAACTTTAATCCAGCCTTGAGGAATTCTGGGAATTGAAGTCCACAAGTCATAAAGTTATCAAGTTTGGAAACTCCTGCTCTACATTATTCTAGTGCCACAAGCAAACATTTATTCACCTCCTGTTAATTCATCCATTAAAATCTAAAGGAAGTGGGACGAAAGGATTTGATGGAATGCACTTTTATATCCAGGGAGCTGCATCAGTTATGCATCTTTCTACCCTTTGGATAATTTTGTATACCAAAAGTTTGCATTTTTGTCCAAACACTACAACACAAATGGTTTGATTCAGACAAACTATAAACAAGGGAGGATGAAAGGAATAGATAGAAACTATTTTTGTAGGCACATTTCCCTCATCCATATCTCAATATATACAGTTGTGGTTACTGTTGCAGTTGTTATTATTTGGGAAAAGATAAACTATGATGGTAAATTAATATAGTCTGTTTTGCGTATTAACTATGCTCAAAGAGAAGTCAACAAATTTAATCAGTATTCCTAAAAAAAGCTGGGTTATTCCTTGATGTGGAAAACAAAATCAAAATTATATCAAAGTTATATCAACTCTAACTTTGATTTGACTTGGATTGGCAATAATTGTAACTTATATATTCACATAAAATATATACTTTACAATGAGAATGTATGGTTTTCTCTTAGATGAAGAGTTATAATTCATATTTATAATATTTTCTGCCTAAGAATGCAGGCCATAAACATATTACTAGCAACTGCAAGTACTCTGCAGTTTACAGTTATATTTTTTTATAAGTCTAATGAGGAATACTTTGTGTTTTGTACATATTTGCAAGAATAAATACTTGTCAGCCACTTGTGAGTGGTAGTCTCTCAGAGATAATTCTTCTTCTTTCCCAAAAATAAATAACAAGTGGTAGACTTAATATTAAAAAAGGAAGAAAAATGTATGGCATTTTTGCCTTTGGACTCAGCAAGAATTGCAAAACAATGTAAATTCTTCTTAGCATGAAATGGGTTTTCCACCACACTGAGCAATAAAGTACTAACATAAACAATAAATAATAGTTTCATGAAAAGTAAAACTTATATAGCGTGATTGAAAGTAAGTACACTTGATGACATTGACAAAGAAATTACATGTTATCTTTTGTCCTATGTGAAAAATATAATGTGCAAACCTTAATTATTTTGTTTTTAACAGCTATCATGAAATGTCAAATGATTCAATATATTTATTCGGTTAATATTTGCATTCATTCATGATAGAATAAGACTATGGACTTCCTTTGTGTTACTTTCTTATGAAAAAGGCATCAAGGACATATAAAATAAGGACATTAGCTACAGGCAAACTGGAGAAATGTTTAAAGTACATATGTTTCCTTTTCTTTTCTTAGTTGAATTTAGGGGGAAATACATTTTTTCAAAACTTTATGGTAGGATATTGAATTGATGAAGACAGTATTTGGTTCACTGTACAATTTATGGGTCATGAATTGAAATTTATGGGTCATGAGGATTCAAAGTAAGTACATATCTATCTATCTATCTATCTATCTATCTATCTATCTAGCTAGCTAGCTAGCTAGCTAGCTAGCTAGCTAGCTAGCTATCTAACTAGCTATCATTGATTCCTGTCTAGAATCATAGATTATTACTTGGATTCTTTGCAATTCAGCAGCATCACCTGTCCTGCTCATTTAATCAGGGCAATTCTGCCACGTGGAAACCTACTCTTTGTGTTCAGAAGTAAAATGCCAGGTACTTACATAAAAATACAAGTCCAGTGACACCAGAATGTCACAGCACATAAGTCACAGGCTTACAAATTTGCTTAGGAGCAGACAGCAAAAACATCAACCCTTGTAAAATAAGCACAAATGCCAAAATCTCATTTAATCCTATCAAAATGATAAAAGATGATGGATGATCAAGTTTTAGCGATTCTGTAAAAGGACATGCCTATCTTGCTTTGTGTATAATCACATACACAAAGACCAAGGAAATATGAGACTGCAACCAAGGATTCCACAGTTCAACCCCAAGCTACACATACTGTATTATCTTCTATTGAAATCTGAAATACTTCATGAAATGGGAATAGGGAAAGTGTAATCAAACCCCAGGCCAAGATAGCAGAGAAATTGCTAATTGTATTGTAATTCCTGAAGATGAGGCATAGTATATAAGTTGTGGTGGTGCAGTAGGTAGAATGCAATATTGAAAGCTAACTGATTTCTCACTGCTCACTATCAGGAGTTGGATTATGACTGGCTCAAGGTTGACTACATCTTTTATCCTTCTGAGTTCAGTAAAATGAGGACCCAAAGTCATTCTGCTGACTCTGTAAACTATTTACAGGCTATTTAGAGATGTTTGTAAAGCACTATGAAGTAGTATATAAGTCTAAGTGCTATTGCTAACAAAGCAATATTTTGTTATATTGCTATATAACAAAGAGTCAGCCAAGGTTCAGAGGCCCTAGTAAATGAATTGAATTAGTCTTTAGCATATAAGGCAAAGCTGCAATAAACAATTCCAGAATTAGTTTTTTCCCCCCAGAAAGCAAATATAGAAAGCTTTCTATATTAGAGTTCACCTCGTCCCACATTCCCCTTAGTCTTCCTTTTATTATTCTCAGTATAGTATTGCAGTATCCCTTGATGTTTAATTCTTAATCCTGACAGTCTCCAAGAGCTCATGATTTTTGCCAAAGAAATTGGTGTGGACTTTTGAGTCAGGCTTTTTGAGATAGTTCTTCTTCAATTTCTGTACTGGACCATGGCTTCCCAGATGCAGTAGTTTCATGGGTATCATTTACTCATCCTCATCTTCCAAGAAAAAGCCATCAGAAGGGGCCATAGAAGCAAAATCAATATTTGTGCAATATTGCCCAGAGCTAGAAATAAATTGCTGACCTCTTGTGATAAATTAACTAGACTCACTTGTCTTTATTTAATAGTATTTTTGCTCTATAAGAAAAGCAATACCAATCACAGCACAGTACAAACTACCATCAATACCACAGTGTTAAAATAATACATTTTAAAAAATGTAATTCCTACACCACCATAATTTACATCAGTGAGCAATGCTGTGAAATTAAAAATGCTTCCTTCATAAAGGCCCAAAGAAAAATAAGTGTTTTAAGGCCTTTTTAGAATCTCAGCCCATACCTTAAATGTACTTTAAAAAGGAATCTTGTCCAAACAATATGAGTAAGAGAAAATAAACGGTACTTTTGCAAGGGAGCTTTAAAGCTTTCAATCTAGCTATTTGTTTCCAAAATTAATCACAGTAACCATTAAGATAAACGATTTTAAACTGAATTTCATAAGGATAGGCCCTTTCCTGCCTAAAATATACATAGATTTATAAAAATGTTTGAATGGATACCAACAGGTGCTGATAGTATTCATGCTTTGCCACTGATTCATGTCCCAATTGACCTTATTTCATAAAATCCAACCATTCAAACTGAACAAAAAATGTATCAGCTAACAAAGATATAATACCTAACTAAAGGTCGTTTCAGAACTTCAATCCTTTTGAGTTATGAAATACAATGAAATGAAATGGTACATAATGATTCTTTGAGTTCTGATATATAATGAAATAATTTTAGTGTTCAAGTAATCATCGTGGGCAGCATGTTGAAAAATTGCTTAGATAGTTGGTACAATGCAAAATCCATTTCTTTAGGTTTCTCATGATAGTAAACTTCTGATGACTGACCACTCTGTTATCTACTAAAAATTCTCAGATAAAGCATAACATTGTCTGAGGCCTAGTTCCATTGGATGACCAGCTTTAGAGTATTTTGTGATGTGATAGCTTGAATTCCAGTGAGAACACTGACATTCATCTGACATCAGGGTTGTTAATGTTTTTCCAGAAAATATCTACAATTATTTTCTTGTTCTCCCACCCCTCTGTCTCATCTGTGTTCTTGTTATTTGAGACAGCATTCCAGATGACTGAATAGAAAACAGGAGAAGAATACTTTGGTGTTGCATTCATAAGAACCAGTGGTGAGCTGGTTCAGACCGGTTTGGGCAAATCGGTAGTTCTGCCAGCTGCTGGGCCCTCCCACGCACCCTAGCGCTATCACGTCCTATATAATCACCAGTTTTTCAATACCACGTGCACTCACATTTTCGGTTCTGGTTGTTACAGTATGTGACTCCCACCTCTTATAAGAACCACTCTGATGCAATACATACCAGCATGTGAAAATAACAAACAAAGGAGAAAAACAATACTTCATGTGAATCTCTATGTAAGTCATACATTTCCTTATGCACCCATAAAAGCATCACCATCATTCATGGATGGATGGATGGATGGATGGATAGGTAGGTGGGTGGGTGGGTGGGTGAGTGAGTGAGTGAGTGAGTAAACAAATACTAAAATTCTTCTCAAAATCTTACCATGACAAGTAGGTAAGGCTCTGTTCCATCCAGGTCTTCCATCATCTCCCATGATACAAGTAAGTGTAGAGTATCCTTGAAGAACATAGCCAGCATCACAATAATATGTGACTGTTGATCCTAGTTTATAATCCATTCCAAGTCTTGTACCATTCATGATATTCCCAGGATCAAAGCATGACTCACGTAACTTGGCTTTAATTTGAGCAAAGGGAAAAGACAACACTGCTGTTAGAACACAACATTTGCGGTAATTTACTGAATTTTTAAAATATGGCATACCCATACGAGACAACCAGCAAAACAATTATAAGCATCATTTCTTTTTCAAAGTACACGTTATGCCATCAGGTAATCCAAAATAATCTTTGCAAAGAAAGACGTCAAAAGCATCTTAAATCTTTATTTCCCTTGTGCTAAACAAGATTAAGATGCTCTAATGACTTCCTTTTCTCTCAACACCAATTTTGCTTTAATCATAAAACAAAAACACAAAGTAATCAAAATTCTTACAAAGGTTAGCGTGTTTCATTCTTTTTTCTTTCCCGTCATTTTTTTCCTATGATTTCTAACAGAAAAACTGATACTGTGGGGCAGCATGAGATTCAGACTGATAAAAGCAATGTTGTGGCGTTTTAATGCTTGTCTCTTTTCTATCTGTGTTTTGAGACTACAGACAAGTGGTGAAATGTAAAATTTGTTACTACTGGTTCTGTGGGCATGGTTTGGTGGGGGGTAATATGACTGAGTGGGCGTGGCCAACTTTTTTTTTTTTTTACTTTTAAAACCATTTTTTCTACAACCTCTTCGGCTGAAGAAGTTGCAAAAAAATACTTTTAAAAGCCTCTGACGAGCCCAGCTGACTTGCCTGATCGGCAGAGGCTTTTCTTTTTTTTTAAAGCCTCTGACAATCCCAGCTGACTTGCCTGATTGGCAGAGGCTTTGTTTCTACTTTTAAAAGCATTTTTTCAGCCAAAGAGGTTGTAGAAAAAATGCTTTTAAAAATAAAATAAAAAGCCTCTGATGATTGCGCAGCTCAGCTGGGCATGGGGGTAGGGAGGGATTTTTGCTACCGTTTCTCTGAACCACCCGCCACCATTGCTAATGGATTGGGCAATCCGGTCCAAACTGGGAGCATTTCATCCCTGCTATAGACCACACACAAGAATCAGAATTTGCAGCACAATGTTATAACACTGTGACATTCTTTTGTCACAATACTAAAAACAGTGAGGTCCTGAGGATGTCACCACACTATGATGTTTTTAAAATCAAAGAGCTTTTTTTATAAGTACTGTGTTTCCCCCAAAATAAGACCAGGTCTTATTTTAATTCTTGCTCCAAAAGACACATTTAAATCTTATTTTCCGGTTAGGTTTTATATTCAGGGAAATATAGTACTAAATGCATGCATCTGGCTTAAGTGGGGATTATTTTGGGGGTAGTGCTTATATTACGAGTATCCTGAAAAATCATGCTAAGGCTTATTTTCCAGTTGGGTCTTATTTTTGGGGAAACAGGTTAGTCCTTGTTTTACAACTACTTGCTTAAAGACTGTTGGGAGTTACAACAGACCCACAAAAAGTACTTATAACCTAATTTCGGAGTTCCAGTGGCTGCAACCGTATGATCTTATTTTCAATATTTAGGCATTAGCTCACATTTACAGTCATTTGCAGGTTCCTATAGTCATATGACCATAATTTTTGGCATATTTTGCTGGTTTCTGCTGTTTATGTCTGGTTTCCAGGCAAAAAATGCTGATTCGGTAAAACAGATTTGCTTAATAACCATTGCATTCACATAATGTTCATAAAATAGTGCATGGTCAGATGGTGACCTACTTAATAACCACAATAATTTATGACCATCATTCCAGCCTCAATTTGTCATATGTTGAGGACTGCCTGTAACCATTTAATGTAAGTACCATAAGTAAGCAATGTAAGTAAGCAATCATTTCACATAAAATAAGAATTAAACAAGTCACAAATAAAAAGGTAGATAAGCAAAATGACTTGATGCTTGACTTAATGCAAATAGGAACTGTAAAGGAGTTATGCTGGACCAAATGTTCCAACATCTATGACCCACATTAACACAGGAGTTACAGTTACATACCTTTATATTCCAAATGGAACCCAGTAAAACTAACAGATCCATCACTTCGAAAAGCCAGATGCATTGAGTTTGAACTGCTTTCTATTCTCTCTGGCAATTTGCTATCTTGAAAACTTCCAATTAATGGGCTATTGCTGTCTGGCCCATCATAGATGTAGAGAAAGTCATAATTTGGTTCTATGCTGAAGCTGTAAAATATTAAAAAATAAAATAAAATAAACATATCACATTAGATCAAAATATTGCTTGTGCAATAATTCATGTAGACCACTGGCACTATGGAAATAAGTCTTAACTATACTTAATACTTAGTCTTAAGTATTCACCATTGTTATTGGTTCTATCCTAACACTTCATCATTAAGTGTTGTACCTTATGATTCTTGACAAATGTATCTTTTCTTTTATGTACACCGAGAGAGTATGCACCAAGACAAATTCCTTGTGTGTCCAATCACACTTGGCCAATAAAAAATTCTATTCTATTCTATTCTATTCTATTCTATTCTATTCTATTCTATTCTATTCTATTCTATTCCAATTTTTAGTGTAACTATAAACATGAATTCAAACCATTATATATAATTACTCTCTTCTAAATGCCAATATGCAGCAACCTTATATTTGCTTGGATATCTTAATAAGGAAAAAACTCTCCAGTTGCGCTGAAAATATATTAAAAATGCTTGTCAGATTTTATTCTTTTATTTATAAATAGGATGTTTATCATTTGTATAATCTTTTGAATATCAGTTGGAGAGAACCGCTGAGAACCAGTGTGGTTTAGGTTTAGCTACGAAAAAATCTGAAGAAGGATAACTTATGTCCATCATCTTCAGCTCCCAAAGGAAAGTGGGGATATGGATTGAATAAATATCCACATAATTTCCTTTGAACGTTGGCATAAAAATGTGGGTTTCCTTCCAAAATATGCATTTGATTGTTGTTGTTGTTGTTGTTTTGGTTTTTGGAGAGTAGAAAAGTAATAATTAAAGCATCAGATAGAAAATTAAAACATGATTAATTTTTCTTTCTTTCTTACAAAATTATGCATTTTTGGGCATCTTTTTAATCATCATCATTTCATTTTTCTTCCATCATAAAATTTGAGGTGACCTTTTTGTTAGCTTTTTTCTGTTCAAAAATACTTCATCCTTTTCATCCTTTGTAGATCCGAAAAGGCACTATGGTTAATAGATTTGCTTTGTTTGATCTCCAACTTTGTTTTAGATCCTGGACTATCTTTGAGAATTTGAACAAACAACATTTAATAACTAAGAAAGCATTGTTCACCTAAGCCTTGGTGGTATGTAAATATGTGGTTTATAAAATGGACTCTTAATCTGACGATGACATTTCCCTTTTAATTTCATACATTCATCTCTTCCAAAAGCTGTAAACTTATTTTAGTAGAGGAGCCAAAGATACAGATTGTCTGCATTAAACCTTTATGAACTGGATTATGTAACATCATAAATACTCAGCATGATTCATATTGCTTCCTTCTTATTCACCTGTTCCTGTTCAGCATGGCATTCATTTCCGGTATCATTGCCCACAAGGAACAGACAGAAGCAGCTTTTCATGTCATATAATATGCAACATGATACAGATATTTCTTGACATACAGCCATTGATTTACTGACCATTCAAAGTTACAATGGCCCTGAAAAAAGTGACTTGTGACTGTTTTTCACACTTACAACTCTTGTAGCATCCCCATGGTCATGTGATCAAAAGTCACCCCCGCTTGGCAATTAGCATGCATTTATAACCGTTGCAATATCTTGGGGTCATGTGATCACATTGTGTTTGCATTTCCTGCATCAGATGAGAAAAGCACATCTTTCTCCTTCTGTCCTAGTCACTTTTTACAGAGCACAATTGAGAACATTTTAACAAACTGTATCACAGTTTGGTTTGGTGGCAGCAGTGCCTCAGATAGAAAGTCCATACAGAGAATGGTAAGGACAGCTGAGAAGATTATGGGAAGCTCGCTTCCTGTTATTCAGGATACTGCTTAGATGCGCTATGTGCTTAGAGCTGAAAGCATTGTTAGAGACCCCCCACACTCACTTTACGGTCTGTTTCTGTTGCTCCCCTCTGGGAAGAGGTTTTGAAGTATTTCTAGCAGGACTACACAATTTTATAACAGCTTTGTTCCCTATCCATCTGGCAATCTCGCAAAATTTATTTTTCTTGCCATGTACATGTATACATCCGAACTAGACTGTGTTGTTTCTCTGTGTCATATAATATATGTGGGTATATGCATATTTATTTATTTATTTATTTATTTATTTATTTATTTATTTATTTACTTATTTATTTAGTCATGTTAATGTGGTGTATATTGGAGGTGGTGACCCTTTGAGAATGAAATTTCCTTTTAATGTATGCCAATAGTGTCCATTCAGAGTAACAATACAGTCTAAGTTTACCTTTTGAACCTTCTGACAAACAAAGTCAAGAGGAAAGCCAGATTCATTTAACAACTGTGTTACTAGCTTAATAACTACAGTGATTTACTTAACAACTGTGGCTAGAAAGGTTGTAAAATGGGGCAAAACTCATTTAGAAACTTTCTTGCTTAGCAATTGAAATTTTGGGCTGAAATTATGATCATAAGTGGAAGATTACCTGTATTCAAATTCAATGTGTTTCTTACAATCATCAATCATCAACTACAATTTCTGCAACATAGCATTGGATATTGGAAGGAAGGATTACACTAAAATTATTATTTAAGAGCCAGAACCAGAAGCACAAATTCTGTATTCACACCATAGATGCAGTTCAGAAGACAACAAGGAAGAAGGTTTCTCAGAAATCTGGCTGATCCAATTCACTCCTAAAACTACAAATAGTAAATATGTCTTCTATTTTCACTAAATCTGTTTTACAAATAAACCTATATTACATAAACAATTACTAATTACTCTTTTTCCCTAAAAATAAGACATCCCCCAATAATAACCACAATTGGGCTTTTGAGCGTATGAGCTAAAATAAGTCCCTCCTGAAAATAAGCCCTCCTCAAAAATATTTAAACACATGCACATGGTTCCCGCCATTTCCTCTGGTTTCCTCCATGTGCTCCAAAATAATAAGACCTCCCGAAAATAAGGCCAGGCGCTTATTTTGGGGTTAAAAAAAATATAAGACAGGGTCTTATTTTCGGGGAAACACGGTACTATAAAAGAGAAGGGATAATTTTACCAAGTAACATTCTTAAAAATAAAAACAAAACAAAGAAACCCCCTCTTAATCCTAATCCTATTTATAGTAGTAAGGTAAACCTGTTTTGCCTCCCACAAGAAGGGTAACACTTATTAACAAGGTGATTGACTTTATTTTTAAATTGGCTGTACACTGCCCTGAGTCCTTCGGGAGAAGGGCGGTATAGAAATAAAATTATTATTATTATTATTATTATTATTATTATTATTATTATTATTATTTAATTATACCCACCCCCTACCTGGCACCATGCTTCTCTTTGAGGCTACAGTATGTTCTTCTTTCAAATTTACCAGTTGACACTACAATTTCTTAGAAGTGGGGAAAACTATGTTTCTTGTGTTAATATTGTAGTATAAGTAAAGGGTACATTAACCTTGATTATTTTACTCTTTAAACTTGCCTAATAGTGGAAAACCCAGAACACCTACATCCAAAGAGCTGAATGACGCTATTGAGGATTGCAAATAGGAATCCAGGTTAACTGAAGTCAATTTCCATGAACTCACCACTTCTCTAATAACATTTTTTTTTTGTAGAGTATTGTTCATTAGATACATTTTTCTATATGCTACATCAGGCAGATGGATATCTTCTAAACTCATGTCATAATTAAGGAACTTCTGGAAAGCAATTGAATGCCTATTGCCACTTGTCTAACAGTCTTAGATCTAAATCTTTCAAATTTCCCCAAGGCTTCATCAAAACAACAAAACAATATATTTACAAGTAATATTTCACATATAAAATGTCCGAAATTCTCTAAACAGGCAAATCATTAAGTGTCAGTTTTGGCATCTTATTGGTTTAAAGATTTTCCCAAGATACCTAACATTCTCATAATAGCTGTTCAATTCTTTTTTTTTTTTTTATGGCTTGGCTGACTTTTATTGATTGGCATAATTCATTCCCTGCACTATTTCTGGGCACATTAATTGTATTGCCTTATTCTTTTAATTGGATATTGCTCAGGGAATTTAAACTAAAGGGCAGATAAGAAATATAATAAGAAATGAAATAATGTTTAAGTAAACAAATAAATAAAACAAATACTTTTCCCCAGTTGATGTAGTTGTGTTCTAGGCTATTCATTTTTGCCTTGCTATAGATTATTTAATATTGATGGAACAATAAATATTCATACCAGGATATAAAAAACCGCAGAAAAGCTTTAATTTTGACGCTTAGATTTATTGCTATCGATGAATTTTCTAGGCTGCCTAGAAATAGTTGACAAACGAACGGGGTAGAAATATATTGATACAATCATTCTCCAAGTTCTGAAGTCAAAGTAGTCTTAATGTATAATTCTAAATTTTTCGAGCAAATATCTCAATAGGTGTATTGATAATAACTGAGACAAAATTTTCTGATAACCTCATTAAATGTGTTACTCTGGAAGATAACAGTGCTTGGTTTTGAAAAGCAGTTATCTTATCAGGCTTACCAAACAAAAAAACAAAACAGATGTCTATGGAGATTCTCAGTCATCCAGGACATGGTTGTCCCAGAGATGCTTTTTCAAAAGGCAACTGGACTTTCTTTGTTTTTCCTTGAAGATATTTTGTTTCACATCCAAGAATCTTCTTCAGTTCTGGAGTTCTTGGATGAGAAGCGAAACGTCTTCAAGGAAAATCAAAGAAAGTCAAGTTGCCTTTTGAAGAAGCACCCTTTGGAAAACAAAGACATCTTCAATAAATATATTATTGAAATTTTACTAAGCAGTTACTTACCTAATAAAAGCTAATGATATTACATAGTCATTATTAACAGTAATAGTCCAGTCACAGTCTCTGCTATGGGGATAAGGATGTGGGAAATTTGGCGAAAGAATAAAACCTGATGATCCCGTCAGATTGCCTCCACAAGGTGCTGTGAATGAATTAAACAAAGAATATAAAAAAGGCAATAGCATCATACAATATAAAGAATGAACAATAAGCAAAGTAAAAAAAAAAAAATCTTTGGGTTATAGAAAAACACAAGCTAATTTATTCTATTTTTTTTAGTACCTCTAAATTAAAAGGCATTCTGGTCAAAGAAACAGGAAGGGAGTCACCTCTTAAGGATACATTCATGCTTTTGAGCTATATTTCTGTTGCCTTAAACTTTTGTTTGGAAAGTGCTACTCTGAATAAACCATGTGAATATTGAATCATAGAAAAAGAACTAGCATTTAATAATGGATATAAATACTGTAAAGATAGGTTAGGAGCAAGATGCAAAAAAAGTACATTTGACAGCAAACATAAGAATGACATTGCGTATTAAAGCAGAGTTTATTACTAATATAATTTTCTTATATAACTAAAAGTCCTAGAAGCTGTAGTTGCAACAAATTTTGAAAACTTGTATATTTTTTTGTTTATACAATATTGGATTTGTATATTTCTCTTATTATTATTTTTTTATGTTCTTCCCCATATGTTTTATGTTCTACATTTTTCTTATTAGTTGTATGGATAAACAGATCTATGAATAATTCACATTTGAAATTATTTTTATTTGCTTAGTTTGGCAGAGGGGAGCCCATTTATAATAACATGATTTATGCAAATATCCGTTTACTTTTATTATTAAAAAGGAAGACACATTTTATAATCCAATGCTGATAGACTAGGAGAGATTAGTTTCAAGAGAGAAATCTTTAAGGTGAGTCATCATCATCATCATCACTATTGTTTGTTATTTCTCTGATTCCTTTGTCAACAATACTGAACAAGTTAAATTATTAAATATGAAAAACATCTGCCAGGCTATCTCCCCTCCTTTACATGCATAACCTGAAGCTTAATGGAAAAATACCACCTGAAACAGAATCACTATTAAACACTCTATGTATATAAAGTCAAGATATTACAATGGAGTTTGGACTGGACAACGTGCTACCCACATCATCAATAGGGGGAAAAATAGTGAAAACTGGATGAATCAAGATGCCTATGGAAATAACATCAAGAGTCTGAATGAAAATTATCACTACAAATAGCTGGTCATCCTTCAAGCTGACAAAATCAAGGGCACTGGAGTCAAGAAAAAGGTTAGAAGTGAATACATTGTAAGATTGAAGAAGAGCTTAAAATCCAAAGTCAGTGGGGAAATATTGATTTGGCCAAGTGTGATTAGATACACAAGGGATTTGCCTCCAGTGCTGAAGCGTTCATGCAAACTAACAGAATATTGATAATCACCATAACAATATTATCAATAAGAGGGTGGAGTAAGAAAAATAATAAGTAGGATAAATAATACTGCTACATATGAAAAAATACATAGATATTAGAAAGTACTGTGAGAATTAGATGTTCAGCAGAGTGATGGAATGAGAGAAAAATCTGTCTCTGTGTCCAGTTGTTTTGGCCTGCAATGCTCTGTAGGAGTCGAAACAGTTTATATCCAGAATGTGAGGGTTCTGCAGATATCTTCTCAACTGCCCTTCTGACCCATGCAATATATGTGTGTGTGTCTGTGTGTGTGTGTGCGTGTGTCTGTGTGCGTGTGTCCTGGATCATTAACAATATCTGAAGGATATTGAAGAAGAAAATGCATAGAAATTGCTGCAACATGAAAACTTATCTGCATACGGGAGAGATAAAGTTATAAAGTTAATGAAGATTAGAAAAGGGATCTGGCAAGGCAGAGTATATGACTAGTACACACACACACACACACCAGGCCAAGCAGATAACAATAAGACTTGGCAATGACTAAGAGCAGGAAAATTGAAGAAAAAAGGCCAAGCCTTATGAACAAATGCATACAAAGCCAGAACTGAGAAGATAGCAACTGACAGAAAATGCTTCCTCTGCAAAGAAGCTGAAGGAACTATAGACCACCCAACCAGCTACTGCAAGAATATCACATAGACTAACAATGGAATGGAACAATAATGGTTCATAGGAATGTATGTAAGAAATACTGCTTGCTAGCAAGCAAGAACTTATGGGATCACAAAATTAATAAAGTAATAGAAAATGAAGACGCTAATATGCTCTGGGATTTTAGAATTCAAACAGACAAATACCAGCCACATAACACCAGACTTAAAATCTTCAATAAGAAAGACAAAGAAGTTCAGAAAGTGGCAACACCTGGAAACAACAGAATAGAAGAGAAAAAAAATGGAAAAAGTAACAAAATACAAAGCACTGCAAATAGAAGTAGAACATCTTTGACAACATTAGGCAAATATAGTCCCTATAGTAATAGGCTCCTTGAATGCAATCCCGAAACATCTGAAGCACCACTTGAATCCCAATGGCATTGACAAAATCACCATCAGTCAAGTGCAAATTTTCCATTAGTCAATTACAAAAGGTGACACTGCTTAGGTCTATTCAGATACTACACTGACACATTATGATGTCCTAAATTGTTGGGAAGAACATGATATGAACACTAGCTCAAGATCTGGCAACTGTGATTTTACATGCTGTATGGGTAACAATAGTAATCATGGATTACAGCATAGACATAGTTAGATATAGCAAAAGGTTACAAATGAAGGTTATGATTCCACAATGCAAACTCAGACCAGTATATACTTATATACAATATTGGGATCAAAGTATGTTAAATGGTGATGCATTATGATGTCAATACACATGTAATATAATGTCAGTGTCATCGTGTTTAGGATCAGATTCCCATACATTCCAGCCTTTGGCAATTACAGCCATTTACACTACTGGGAAATCTGATTTAAATAAGGTTTATTTCTGAGTAGATATGCAAAAGATTACAGTCCTAAGTCTAGGTTCCTCTTCCCATAATAAAATATTTCTGTTTTGGTGTTCAAAGACCTTAAAGATTGCTATTAAAAACATACTGTAACCCTAATGTGATAGAACCACTCTAACACAAAGTTAACCTTAAATAAGAATTAACCTTAAATAAGAATTAAGCAACGATTGCAAAATTAGAATTTGAATAATGGTATTATTAATGGTATTATTGAATAAAAATATGTAGCAATGAAATTCTAGAATTAAACAGTGGGCGATTAGATAATGAAAGAATATATTTTAATGTAAACATGTGTATTAGTAGAATTATATGGATTGAAGGATCAGAAAGAACAGGAATAGCTGTACTTTAAATGTATAAACGATTGTGATTGGTACTAGAAGTGTATACTGAGACACTGAATAATGAAAGAATGAAGGATGAAATTTTGATATAAATCGATGTGAAAAGTTAATTAAGGGAAATATGAATTAAAAAACCATATCTTTGAATATTTTGTGAGATGCGAAAGAAAAAAAAGTTAAAATAGGATAGAAATAAGGGGAATAATAGTATATATATGTTTGTGTGTGTGTGTGTGTATGAAGATATATGAAAGAAAAAACGAAGGTTTAGAACTGAAGGGCGATAGTAAAAGATATTGTGTTTATTTGTATTGAGATGTATGAAACCCAGGTATCACACCATTCACACATTGATATGTATAAACAATATAAAATAAAAAACTTAAATTAAAAAAAAAGGAAAGTTAACCTTAGAAAGCCAACCATTTTTAAAATGATTCTATAATATTAAGTTATTGGGTTGTTAGGTTAATTAAAAACAAGTCATAATAAAAAATCAGTTAAAACACTGGGTAATTAACTATTTTATTACCACAAGTTAAATGTAACATAATGTAGTTATGATATATTGGGTTACAGGTTTTAGTGGTGATTTTTTTCCCCCAAGATACTTCTGGTAAAATGTGGAGGAATGTTCCATGGGAGTAGAACAATTTACACTAAGTGTTTCACTAGTAAAAGGAAACAAAATGTTTGACTGCTTCCTTCCTTGTTTGGACAATTCCTGATCATTCCAGAAATTTATATAAAAAGAGGATTCATCATATCGTGATCTTTTAAATGTTAACCAAAAAAAAAATAATATTATGGGAGCATAAAAAAGCATAAACTAGTGATTTGTGATCAAAAGAAATAACTCATATAATATATATAATTAACATGACAAGTCAACTGCAATTAAATCACAATAATTATAACTCCAATCAAGCCATTTTAAGATTGATGTAAACTTGTAAGGCATTTTGTATGGGAATTAGCACAAAGCATTGATTTTATGGACCCTTTGAGCAAAATATGAGTTTAGGAAAAGCTAAAAAAATGCTATGTCATCACAAACTCTGTCTGAGCCAAGACATTCTTGATGCAGTAGCATCCACAGGAGCTTTCTGTTTTTATCAGAAGGAGGAAAATGACACTCCACACCGAGAGTACAACATTACAGTGCTCATACTGAAGGGCTTAGGTCATGAGCCCACGATGTTGCTATCATATTTTTTGCCTCCAGTTAATAGGCTTATTCTGTAGTTGGCAAGAATAAAAAAAAAGTCCTTTAGCAGCCATTTTAAGTAGGATTTATGAACCAGGAAATGGATCATATCCATACTCTTCTCAGGTTATTTCCTTGTTCAAATATGTCCATTAACCTTCTTTCTTATCAACTTTTGGTTCTCTTTCAAGTGTGTGAATGGTTATTGTTTGTTTTGTTTTTACCTACTCTAGAATGGTTCCCTGATGGCCAGGATTTGTATTATTCCGGATAAATTGATATTGTCTTCACAACCTTGAATGACCAGTTGTTGAACAAAAGTTTACAGCAGTTACTAGGATATTAGAAATACTGCAAATTGAGAACAGAAGGACTTCTGAAGCAGGGGTGAAATCCAGCAGGTTCTGACAGGTCCTGGAGAACTGGTAGCGGAAATTTTGAGTAGTTCGGAGAATTGGTAATGGAAATTTTGAGTAGTTCAGAGAACTGGCAAATACCGCTGGCCCCAGATTCAGCTGGGAATGGAGATTTTGCAGTATCCTTCCCCTGCCATGCCCACAAAGCCATGCCCACAAAGCCACACCACGCCCATAAAGCCATGCCCACAGAACTGGTAGTAAGAAAATTTGGATTTCACCACTGCTCTGAAGTACCTTTGAAGTGAAAGAATTACTGAGTAAGCTCTGGAAGCATAGACAAATAAGGCCTTTTATTAACAGTGCCACCCATTTCCTGTTTATTATTTTTTTCAACCACACAAGCATGGTAGATAGAATGTGAAATGATCTAATTTTCTATCCTCCATTGCTGATCTTAATGCTGTTATTATTAACTGTGGACATAACTACAAATCTGTCAACTTGGGTACACAAATTAATTCTTTACTCTTTACTCTTATACTAAAAAAATGGGTCTGATACATACTGACTTAAAAACATGTTCTTATTATAATGATAATCACTTGTGTGAGACATATGGTTTAATTCTTTCCTTCTGAATATATATATATATATATATATCCCCTAAAATTGCTTGTCATTTGCATTTAAAATGAATTTCGCTTTGGCACAAAGTTCACATAATTAATGTCTCAATTTCTGCTGATTTATTTCAGGAAAAAAAAATCACAATAAAACAACCTACTTCTGCTTTTGCATCATTTTGATTTTCCCTAATGGACTTCAAAGTTACATTAAATGTTCATCTCAGAATTTAGCAAGATTTTTAATTAACAATAAAAGACAATGATGCAAACATATCCTAAGAAACTATTCCTGATGCAGATGGGAACCAACTAGGCAGTAAAAGTATCTTAAAGTACTCAAGTACTAATACATTCTAACTTTCAGCAATTAAATAATTATATGGATTTCTTCTTGTCTTTTTTAAATTTAGCAGTTAAAGTCTTTGTCCAATGCTGTTATTTAAACACATGCCAAGGTATAGATCTGGATTATTGTATTTTTCCCATCATTGCAGAAAATAAGGCTGTTTACCATTTTGCAACATCCAAAAACATTCTCCAACTAATTAATTCTAATAAAACAAACATTTAAATCCCTAAAAATAACTGTCCTAAAATTTTGTTTATCTTTTTAGCTAATACTTTTCCGTGAATTTTTATTAACACAAACAAATTTAATATTTATTTATTTATTTATTTATTTATTTATTTATTTATTTATTTATTTATTTATTGCAATTTATATGCAATAAAGCCCTTCTCCCGAAGGACTCAGGGCTGCTTACAAAGAATAAAATTCAACAATTTAAATTTAAATGTAAATTAAAATCCAGTTAAAATTAATTAAAATTATTACAATGTAAAAGCCCCTAGACGGGTCAGTCCAATTGATGAAAGAGCCATGTCTTCAGTTCGCGGCGGAAGGAGAGGAGGTCGGGGGCTGTCCTAAGCCGGGTGGGCAAACCATTCCAGAGGGTCGGCGCTCCCACAGAGAACGCTCTCCCCCTGGGGGCTGCCAGCCGACATTGTCTAGCTGACAGCACCCTGAATTTGAAAAAATAAAAATTTAGAATGCAAAAGTATTTCAACAACAATGAACACTCTATTTAGATGACAGGTGATGGAAGATAGATAGATAGATAGATAGATAGATAGATAGATAGATAGATAGATAGATAGATAAATAGACAGACAGACAGACAGACAAACAGACACTCTCTTTGCTATAAGGAGACCTGACCATAAAGCGAGGACAATAATTCTCTGCATTTCCCTTATTAGAAAATAGGTATCTGTTTCAGATGCTCCCCAGAATTTCTGCACCTACTTCCTGAGATGTTTAAGGGAGGAGGGGGGACATCAGAAGGCCAAATATGCAACAGTCATCCTCTAACTTTTGGATCTCCTTCTTAATCCTAATGCAAATAAAAGCTACAATGACACTATGAAATTATTTAATCAATTTGCTGGGAGGCAGTAGGGAAGAGGTCTGCCAAAGCAGACTAAACACAAAGAAAAACCAGAGAGATGGTAAGGCAGAATGCTTTGTTCATTTATTTTGAAAAAAAAAAATGTATTTGAATTTTTCATTGTAAGAGTTACAATGCATTAAAGTAACCCAACAGGGCCAGACCATTTTCATTATGCCCACTATTCATCATAGATGACTCTTTATCCCAGAAACTATCTCCTATTTAGGAGGTAAAGAAGTGAAAACAATGAAAAACAACTACGTCCAGTTTAGGCAACCATAATAATTAAATTTGTAGAACTCTTATAAATGAAGCTACCTATATTGAGCATTGATTAATTTTTCTTTTAGGAAAGTCGTTTTAAGTGCTGTCCTCCCTTCTTTTCTCTTGCAGAGTTTTTTTTTTTTTTTTTTTAAAATACAGAATATTGTTCTACCCAAACCAAGTGGGCTGTCTTTCCATTTATATTTAACACAAAGCTGCCAACTATTGGCTGCTGACTTTGCCCTTTATGACAATGTAATAAGGATTATTACATGTTTCCAGAGTTCAGAAAAGCAGTTGTGTCTTCTTTAGGTTTCTGCATACCTATACAGACTGGTGGGTTGGGCTGCCAGAAGTACCGATTTTCTACCTGAATGCAGGTTATTCGCTCATCTCCTTGCAACTCATAGCCAGGATCACATTGAAATAGCACCATGTCCCCAGGTTCTCTTCCATCTCCATTACGGGTTCCATTCATAGGGACACCTGGATCTCGACAGGCCGTGGCCACAGAGCCTAGGAAAGAAAGAAAACGGAAAGGAATAAATCAACAAAAGCTTTGATTCTATTTTTTTAAGGAAAAAAAGTAATAAACACATCCTAGGAATCCTAAATATCTTTTTTTCCCCTGCAAGAAATGATCATGGCATATACTGTATAATTCACATCTATTAAAGAATGTGTAGAGGTTGTGGAAGTACTGGGAGGAATATTAGAAATAAGCAACTAAAAGATAGGAACTGTTAGTAGATTATTTAATCAAAAAGGAGTTCAATCCAGGATTGCAAAAATCCCGACAAGTTGAGATTCATAATATTCAAAGAGATAGCAGTTTAATAAACTTGCTAATAAAGGAGAGCTTGCAGTTTCCAAACTCTTAAAATTCTGTACTTAACTCCTAACACTGTCATTTTTTTGTTGCTGTTAGTTGTGATCCCATGGACAACGTTCCTCCAGGCCTTTCTGTCCTCTACCATCCTCTGGAGTCCATTTAAGCTCACGTCTACTGCTTTGGTGACTCCATCCAGCCACCTCGTTCTCTGTCGTCCCCTTCTTCTTTTGCCCTCAATTATTCCCAGCATTAGGCTCTTCTCCAGTGAGTCCTTCCTTCTCATTAGGTGGCCAAAGAATTTCAGTTTCATCTTCAGGGTCTGGCCTTCAAAAGAGCAGTCAGGGTTGATCTCCTCTAGGACAGTTTGATTGCCTTGCAGTCCAAGGGACTCTCAGGAGTCTTCTCCAGAACCATCATTCAAAGGCCTCAATTCTTTGGCGCTCAGCCTTTCTTATGGTCCAACTTTCACAGCCATACATTGCAACTGGGAACACCATAGCCTTGACTATACACACTTTTGTTGGCAGGTTGATGTCTCTGCTTTTTAATAAGCTATCTAGATTTGTCATAGCTTTCCTCCCCAGGAGCAAGCGTCTTTTAATTTCTTGGCCGCAGTCCCCATCTGCGGTGATCTTGGAGCCCAGGAAAATAAAATCTATCACTACCTCCATTTCTTCCCCATCTATTTGCCAGGAATTGAGAGGGCCAGATGCCATGATCTCAGTTTTCTTAATGTTAAGTTTGAAGCCAACTTTTGACCTCTCCTTCTTCACCCGCATCAAGAGGCTCTTTAGTTCTTCTTCACTTTCTGCCATTAGAGTGGTATCATCTGCATATCCGAGGTTGTTGATATTTCTGCTGGCAATCTTAATTCCAACTTTTGATTCATCTATATAATGAACATCTATATAATGAACCCTTTCATTAAAACTACCTTATTGAAGCCACTGAGATTCTTGCTTCTTTGAGCATGCCTTCTTTATTTTATTCCACTATTCATTTTATCTACCATCTGTTTTAATAACAGTGTGTAGAATCACAGTCGCTTAAGCTATCATCTATAATGATGTCATTTGTATCACGAAATCACCATGTAAAGGAAGCCAAATGTACCATTGTAAATTACATTATTAGTGCCACTTACAGAATTATGTTAATACACAAATGATATATTTTGCTTTACATTGTCCTTTGCAGATATCCATGGCATGTAATAACCTTTTTCCTTATTTGTTGATATAATTTTTGAACAAAGTATGACATATTTCCAAAGAATAAGAGTGCACTATTCTAAGAACAGGAATGCACTGTCAATGTCACTCTGTTACACAGACCTATCATTTAATCACATCTGTTTACTGCATGTTATTAAAAGAATTAAGCTAGCAATAGATGAAATGATACAAATGAAATGAATTATGTTGTGCTTTTGAAGCTTTACCAGATTGAGAGGAGGTTGCCACAGATTGGTCATATATTATCATTGGGAAGTATAAAGCAATTAAATTCATTAGGTTTATTAGTTATCAGTGGAAAAAGAACACTCTTTAGTTAGAATTTTTCTTAAAAAAATTCCAACATCAACAGGAAGTGAATACTCAAAACCTGATGTGTGACATTTCACTCCAAATAGAAATGTTTTGAGTGTAGCATTTCATTAAATATTTTATAATAATACCGCCAGGAGAAAACTTGACAGATTAAGTGAAAAGGAAGCATATAGTAATTTAATCAGCTTGCTCAACCTTTTGGATCTGCCAATACTGATATAAAATAGGTTTTAGCCTTCAGCCAGTTGTTGGCTTGTTTGTTTGTTTGTTTAACAGAAAATGCCAAAGTGAGCAAACAAATAAACAAAAAATGTCAATCCCTTATTTCACCGTATATGAGGTGTCTTAACACCTCAGAGAAAGGCTCAGCTAAATAACAGTTGTAGCACAAGCCACCAGCAGGCTATTATCAAAATACACTCACCATTATTGTAAAGAAATATGTACTAATCCTGCATGGCAGAAAAATGTGGTTTGTCCTAATGTTGCCTTTACCTGGGTCACTGAACAATGTATATAACATGAGAATTCAGAGCTGATAAGGTAGAAAAAAAGGTCACTTCATGTACTTTCTAGAACAAAAATGTGCCTTGAATATTAATAGAATTGAAACTTCCTCAAAGACCTCTGAATATCACTACAAATTAATACTCCTAGGAAGGAATTAACTGATTAATTTATAAATGAGTATCTTTCTCAGGCATGATTCTAACCCTAAGTTAATACTTAAAAATACAATAAATCAATTTACACATATTATTGAGAGATGGATTGGGTAGTGGTTAAAGGCACCAGATTACAAATTGGGAAGCCATGAGTTCTAGATCTGTTGTAGGCTTGAGACCAGCTAGGTTGGTTGGCGAACCTTTTCAGCACCGAGTGCTGAAACGGGAGCATGTATGTGTGCTGAAAACTGGAAGAGCAGCCGCCCAGTGCACATGCTCATGTCGGGTGGGTGCTCTTCCAGTTTCTGGCACATGCATCCACACCAGTCAGCTGGCCAGAAACCAAAAGATCAGATGACTGGTGCGCATGTGTGCGCCGGAAACCGGAAGAGCAGCCACCAGGCACGTGCATGTGCACCAGGTGGCTGCTTTTCCGGTTTCTGGCGCTCCTGCATGCGTGAAGACCAGCTGGCTGGCATGCCGGAACCTGGAAGAGCAACGGGTGATGCCTTGTGTGCCCAGAGAGATGTCTCTGCATGCCACTTCTGGCACATGTGCCATAGGTTCACCATCACAGAGCTAGATGATTCTAGGCCAGTCACTCCCTCTCAGAGCCTAGCAAGGCAAGGGCAAGCCACTTCTGAAAATGTTGCCAAGAAAAATGCATGGATTTATCCAGGCAGTCCACAGGAGTCAAGACTTATTCAAAAGCCAATACAGATATATTGTATACTCCATATCATGTGGGCTAGGAAATTCTGGGAGTTGAAATTCATGCATCCTAAAATCGCCACGTTTGGGGCAGTGGGGAAATCCATTTTTTTTACTAATGGTTTTGTGGGCGTGGCTTGGTGGGGATGGTGTGGCTTGGTGGGCATGGCAGGGGAAGGATACTGCAAAATCTCCATTCCCACCCCATTCCAGGGGAAGGATACTGCAAAATCTCCATTCCCACCCCACTCCAGGGGAAGGATACTGCAAAATCCCCATTCACTCCCCACTCTTGGGGGAAGGATATTCCAAAATCTCCCTTCTCACCCCACTTGGGGCCAGCCAGAGGTGGTATTTGCTGGTTGTCCAAACTGCTCAATATTTCCGCTACCGGTTCTCCAGAATCTGTTAGAACCTGCTGGATTTCACCCTGGTTTGGGGGAAAAGAACCCCTTTGCTCTTTGTTCAATGATCAATCTCAAATAAACACAGACTATTCCTTACTTAATTCCTTACTAATTTGTAAGCCATTTAATTCTTGATTCACTCTCTGGCTAGCTTACAACTAGGAACCAAAATGTGATGGGTTTTAGAGAGAAAAGCAAAATAATCAAAACAAAACAAAAAAGCAAGCAAAAACAATCACCCGGTTTTCATGGTCAATTATTCTAATTAACAACAGATCACTCTCTTGAAGGCTATTTTATTAAGTATAGGGTTTAAATATATATATGCTAATTAAATGATTAGGTTGTCAATTAAAGATACATTATTTCTCCCTGTATTTTGTTAAAGTGGTGGCTATATAAAATCCTCAGCACTTACAAATATTTTCTCTATATATTCATTCAAGATCTTTTTCAATAAGTTCAAATATTTTAAGTATATTTAATTCAGTCTTACTGAGAGTTCTATACTGATCTTGCCTCAGATCATTTTTAAATTAGTATGTCTACTGTACATACATACATACTGTATATACAGTATGTATGTATGTATCTATGTTACATGTTAACATACTAACTCATTTAATTTTAATGGCTTCCTTTAAAGAATCTAAATATATGTTGTCCATATGGTTAACCTTGACTGAACTTGAAAAGCTAAACAGGGTTAGATCTAGTTGGCAGTTTGGACAAAAATCCCAAATCAAGAAATTCCAGGGAGACTACAAGAAAACTCTTGAACAGTCATACGGAAAAGACAGACATACAAGGACAGAGAGAGCAGTCAATAGAAAATTACTTCTATATTGTTGGCTAAAACAAAAAAGAACAAAAAAGCTATATGAGAATGACAAGGAACTGAACTCTAGTTTTAGGAGATTGCCTTCTTAATTATCTGTTAGATTTCATGTGCAATTACTGGAGCATTCACCTTCACTGTGTCTCCTACATTAAGCGTAAATACGAACTACTCGTTTATCAGTTTCTCAATGTATAACAGAAGTACTGGATCTTGTTTTTGTAAGGAATGCATGAGATTTTCCATTGACACCTCATTATTGACCACATGCTGTTTGTTTTGATAAGATGGAGATGATCCTTCTCATTTATTTAGACAGACTCTAGTGGCTGAGACAGACTGGCTTATCCTTTTCAAAAATAACTCTTCCCTTTGATCAACTGCTTCACTGCAAAGTTTTCACCAACCATGGACACATTTTATTTAAGTTGGATTTATTTATTTAATTTTATTTTATAAAATTTGTATGCCGCTCTATCTCCAAGGACTCAGGGCGACTCACAACGACAATCG